CCCACCCCCCGCCCGCGCCCCCTGGCGCGGTGGGCTGAACCCGGGCCAGTACATGGGGGGGGGGCGTCCGGAGGAGCTGCGGCTTGGGGAAAGTTACCGGCTGGACTATTCGGTTTCTTACGCTTCCAGAGCCGCCTTGTCTCTCCAGCCCCATTACGGCGCTCAGCCACACCAAAAAGACCCCGCTCCCCTCCCGCTCCTCAGCCACATTCCCTTCGTTCTAGCTGTAGTCCCACCGCCACCTTTTCAAAGTCAGCTTTGCTCTCAGAACTCCAGCGCGAGGGTGGGTGATTAGAATTCTCCTACCTACAATCCGGTGCCGGCGCACCTGCCCTAACCAGAGTGGGGGTCGCTTGGCTGTAGAACCTAATGTGCGCCGCCGGCAGAGGGTTACCATTCAAAGGGGTGGGGGCACTGCTTTCAATTTCCAGCTTTCTCTCCCCTCCTCCCACCCCACCCAAGTAAGAGAGCGACGTGTCCTGGCCAGAGCGAGGGGGGGCAGCGTGGGCAGCGGGTTGTGCCCGGACACGTGCCTGCCCAGGCGCCCCGGCCCTGCTAGTGTTTGGAGAGAGGGCGGGTCCCCTGCCCCCCGCCCCGCACAACCCCCATGTATCAAAGGGCGGCTGAGACGTGGTGAGACCTCGGGGCGCCCTGGGGGGCGGGGGGAAAGGCGGGGAGCCTGGGTCCTGAGCAGGGGAGGGGCAGAGGCGCCGGTGCTAGCTGACCCACAGGAAACGAGCTCTGCTGACCTAGTTTGGGACACCGGAAGTGGGTGCTGGGGAGAGGGGGAGACCGGCAAGCTGTCCTGGCTTCCGGGCCAGGTGGAGGGCGTTCTTGAATTGACCCCCGCCCGAATGCCTTGGAGACCCCTAGCTGCAGCTGAGAATGGAAATGAGTCAGCGCAGCTATTTCACCTTCCCCCAACTTATTCCTGGAGAAGGGAGAATGTTCACCCAGGGTCGGGGGAACCAGATTGGGCAATGAGGAGTTAAACCAAGATGGGAACTCTGTTCCCTAAGGGAGTGTGTGTGTTGGGGGTGGAGGGGACCTCTGAGGCCTAGAGGATTCTGGGGTTGCCTTATGTTATCCCCCACACACGAACTGGTTTGGTCACCCCTGTACCCTCCTGGCACTGTTAGTCGAGCTGGCATGGACTGGACATTAGATTGGGAGGAGATACTGGGCATAAGAAGTGTGCTGGTCTAGAAAAGAATGTATTTGTGACTTAGGTTTGGGTGATAGTATTCCTCCTTAGTAACTGAGGAGGACAGGGGGCTCCCCCTGGAGCAGCTGATGAAACAGGGAGAAATCTCTGCCAGTGCCTCCTGTCCCTGGCCCCCGGGACCCCAGCTCCCCCAGTGTGCCTCTGTTACATGGTTGCTCTAGGCACACTGCTGCCTACAGACAACCCCCCCAGATACTGTCCCCTCCCTTGGGTACCATCCACCCCCAGTCTTGGAGCAGGAGGTCAGGAAGGGGTTAATACTACCAGAAAGGGGCTCTGGGGAAGAAAGAAGGCAGTGCCCACTAGGCTCAGGTGTCAAGGAGACAAGCCTGCTCTGATGGGGCCCTCTCACCACTAGTCAGTCCTGGTGATATGACCCCAGTGTCTAAGAGACAGGTGCTGTCCTCTTCCCCCTTCCCCATGGTGCCCCCTGGCACCCAGGGCCCCCAGCTCCTCCTTGGCCTAGTGCCTGCCCCAGGAGGGCGCGGCGGGCAGCGGGGGCTGGGCTAACAATGCACCATCGGGCCCTTTGTGTGCTTGCACTTGGCACCCTGGGGAAGGGTGGGGGAAGGGACCCAGCGGGCATGGGGGGGCGGAGCACCTCTGGGGTGGGGACAGTGAAGGCTTGGGGAGAGAAGCAGAGAATGAAAACAGGTGGGGAGGAAAGGGAAGTAGGTCAGATAGGGTGCTGGCCCCCCATTCCAAGCCAAGGGTAAGAGAACTGGCCGCGGATCCTGAATGTTATCATGTTGGTACCTGAGGCCCAGCCTAGGACTGGATATTTGGGGTCAGAAGTTACTACTCACCAGACTGCTCTGATGGAGGAGGCCTGGCCCTCTTCCTGATGATTGGGAGACCCAGTTCTCCTGCCCTTAGGCCAAGACCCCAAGATGGGGAGCAAAGGGGCTTCAGGCGGGGCACTGCCCTCTGATAGAACCCTCTGGGCCTGCTTCAGGGCTTCCTGCCTCCAGCCTGCTTGGCTCTCTGACCTTCCTGAGAGTTAAAACAGCCCTGCCACCAAGGCCTTGGGGCTTGTGGCTGTTTTGGCCTAGGGCTGAAAAGGAGGGTGGGGGAGGAAGGTGGGGACAGGCAGATGGATAGGACCCTGGCGTGGGGTGTGCCTGCTCTGGCCTCTTCCCCCTCCTTCTGCTGAGTAAACTCGTGAGTAAACTTGACGTTTTGCCCGGACAGTTTGAAGTTGCCTTGCCGCTGCCCCCCCCC